TCACTCACATGTATCATGTTTATCTACATCTAACCCACTTGGAGGCTTTATTATCTAACAGTATTGGCTTTATCACACAGAGTCACCAGCTTCACTCTACTATTGGTTCATGTACTGAGCTTCAGCCTAGACGGCGGCTCCTGTAGACTTATTTTTCAGTTACAGATCTAGTGCAAATTGTAACACTCCTAATATTAATACTTGTTACTAATAGCTTTACACTGTTGTCATGTTTATAGGTATCAGTTAACTACACAGTACTTTTACCTATTAGGTAGATCCATGTATTAGGCTTTGTTGTGTATATCGTGTTCACATTATTTCATAGCCTTGTATATATTATTATTTTTTTAACCTATCCGTGGGTACCTACTTATTGATTTTTAACAATACTATTAAAGGTTATATTTTATTTTAGGCCACTCATTTTTCTCTGATATTCTGTTGAGTCGAATTCCATATCACTGAAGAGCCATACTGATGTATAACCAAACAAAAGACTAGAGTGATGGCCGAACATGTTTGGTTGATTCAATATTCAGAGTTCTGACCATGGCGTAAAAAAAAAGAGATGACTGATGGGGAAAAAGATGATTGACGGCTAGAGTACAGCCATGAAATGTTGATTTTAATCACAGATCAAGAGAGAAGTGATCAACAGATAGAAAAAAAAAAACTATCTTATATAATATTCAAATATATAAAGATAGATTTTTACTGCTCTATCTCTTTGATCCTCTGTTGGTTACTCTTTCTCATTTGGTATACGAACCAAATAACATTAAAATACACATCTCTGTGTATTACACAATATATACATACTATTTATATATAATATTGGGACACTAGAAACTCTAGTTTCTAGCACCCTATAATGTATGCATGTTCAGGTATAAAACCTCTTGGTTATACATATTTATATATGTGTGTATAAATATACACACACACATTCTACATATATATTTAACTATTAACTACATAATTATTTGATTTTATTAATTATAATTTGAGGGACCTGCCTGACAACCCAGACAGACAGTCCAGAGAATTTAATTGGCAAGCACTATATTTAACCCCGTAATTTTCCAAAACACCATAAAACCTTTACATGGGGGGTATTGTTATACTCGGGAGACTTTGCTGATTACAAATATGAGCGTTTTAAAAAGTAAAACTGATCACAATGATATCACCAGTAAAAGTGCAGTTTTTGTTTAAAGAGATGCAAAAAACAATTAAAAACGCTAACTTTGGCCAGCATTTGTGACTAAGTGGCTACTACAAAAGTCTGGAAATACCCCATTTTGAATATCCTGGGTTGTCTACATTTGAAAATGGTATGCCATGGTGGGGTTAATTCACATTCCTGTCCTACCATATGGTCATAGTTCATTTGTAATCTGTCACAAAGTATGAATAAAGTTTGACTTCATCATGCCACGTGGAAACTATATGACAGGGGGAGAGAAATTTCAGCACTACATCTTCCATTTATGGCAAAGCATCATGGGAGGCGTAGTCCAAACATCTGGAGTGCTAAAGATTGCCTATCTTGCTGTATGATATCAGTCATGAAAAGCTTTAAGATTACATATATATATATATATATATATATATATATATATAGCACAGCTGTATAAAATCAGGCAAAAAAGAAAATACTACAGATAAGGATAGGACAAATAGAAAATATCATTTATCAATTTTAACAACAAATACGTACAATTTAAAATGAATAAAACAGAATATGCAAAGTGAATTCTATCTTATACATTGTTTAAGGCTTGTGTTGGTAGTACCTGGAATATCTCTAATAAATATGACTGTGTCTGCCTTTCATGTCTTAAGCAAAAAAAGAAAGCCATTGTTTCAGTTAAGAAATGCTTAGTGAAGAACAATGTCAGAAAGCAGTAAACGAATAAAATAGTTGGAATCAATAAAGAAGCCAGGTCATTGTTTAAAAAGTTTTGTTTGTTTTAACTTGTTCATCACTCCAGTGATGGAGCTTGGAAAATATTGCCATTTGTGCCAAACCTTTCTCCACTGGGCTTCACTTAGTAACACATGAATTAATTTATAGACAGAATGTACAGTTTCAGCTCGGCGCTCATTCTATGGTGCAAATTTTGGAATTGTTTGCCTTATTAAAGTAATTGTCCCATCAATCCTTGGCAAACGGTGTGGTGTGAAAAAATTTAAAATATTTTGTAGCCAAAGCAAAGCATTTAGTTCAGAAATTGCTTACATAGGAAGAATTTTTTGTTTATATTCGTGTTTTCAAATATACTCACATCAATACTTTAAAAGCTACCTGTGTTTCTGTAAAATGTCTATTTCCTTTCCTTTATTTTTACCTGACAATAGTTAAACGCTTTTGAGAGGTGGACCCATAGGCGTGCACGCCTTGGCAGACCCTAATCCCCGCGGTACGCCTATGGATTGAGACCAGCACCGGATCTGCTGTAATCCTCCATGGGCCGGTGGGGAGATCTACCTCACCGGCCCACAGCAGCATTGAGAGAGGCAGGAGAGGACCCGGGGAGCTCTAGCCAGCAGCTCCGCCGGGTTCCTCTCGCGAGATCTGGGCGTTGCCGCGGCAGCTCCGCCGGGTTCCTCTCGCGAGATCTGGGTGTAGCCCCGCAGGCTAGAGTTCACTCTCCATTGGATTACCAGAGATGGCACATGACAGCAAGGATCCCCCTCCCTACATAAAGTAAGAAGGGAAGGGGGATATTTACTAATTTGCCCCCACCTCCACCCCCACAATCCCTCCAAACATACAGCACACACACAGCACCCTCACACATACAGCACCCCCACACACACAGCACACAAACAGCACCCTCACACACATAGCACCCACACACATACAGCACACAAACAGCACCCACACACACAGAGCACCTACACACATACAGCACACAAACAGCACCCACACACACACACAGCACCTACACACATACAGCACCCTCACACACACATACAGCACCCTCTCACACACAGCACCATCACACACATAGCACCCTCCCAAACACACACACACAGCACCCCTTTACAAACACACAGCACCCTCACACACAACACCCTCACACACAGCACACTAACAGCACCCTCACAAACACACACACACACACTGCACCCTCACACACCGCACACAAACAGCACACTCACACAAAAACAGCACCTTCACACACAGCACATTAACAGCACCCTCACAAACCACACGACACCCACACACAGCACACAAACAGCACCCTCACACACACAGCACCCTCAGACACACACATCACACAAACATCACCCTCACACAGCACACTAACAGGACCCTAACAAACACACACACACACAAACACCTTCATACACAGCACACTACCAGCACCCTCACACACAGCACACTAACAGCACCCTCACAAACACAAACACCCTCACCCACACAGCACACTACCAGCACCCTCACACACACATAACACTAACAGCACCCTCACACACAACACCCTTACACACACAGCACCTTCACACCACCCTCACACAGCACACTAACAGCACACACACACAGCAGTGTATGTATGTGTGTTTGTGTATATATATATATATATATCTATATATATATATATATACCAGCATATGGTGATTAGCACTCTCGGATTTCCAAAAATCAGATTAAAAAGTAAAGTTTATTAATCTATATATAAAAAGGTTATTTCAACGTTTCAGTCCTCTAGTGGGACTTTCTTCAGGAATAAACAGCCATAGAAACAATATCACATATATATTACAAACCATAATTGAAAATAGACTTACCCCAGGTGTACCGAATCCCCCTGTGTGCACCCGCGGTCCGTGGTGTGGATTACTCATGCGTGAGGTGCTCCGCCCCCTTACGGCGTTATCACATGGTAATAGTGTCACGGAGACGTCGGCATAAGCCGCGTGTCCATGGCAACCAAATGTAAACATGCCGCAGAAGTGCTAGAGAGAACAGAGAATGAATGTGCATATAAACAGTGAAGTGATACTTTGTGTTTGCATTAAGGCTATAAGACTACTACCCAGTAGCATCACTATCGTAGCAGTCAAATAGCATATTGTGATCAACAAAGACCATATATACTAGTAATAATAATAATATCAATTTTAAAGTGATATGGTGCAAATGTGCAAAATCCGATTAGAAGAAAAGTGACAGTCACATTTAAAGTGATACAGGGCAATGTCCACCGAAAAAAAGTGGGTATTTAAAGTGCTTATAGAGGGATAGCTCCTAAACAGTGCTCTATTTAATAAATATTAAAAATTAAAAAATAATAAGCTGCTGCATGTGATTATAGAAGAATGGCACAATAGTTAATAAGTGTCAGAAAAGAGAAGTGTTACATCCCTAATGTTAAGAATCCTAAACATCCATGAATAACAATGCAGATATACATCACAAAGAAAAAAAGAACTAGACATTAAAAACAATAACTGCAGTGGGTTCATATGAACGAGTGAAAGGAGATCATCTCATTGAGTCCTTTAGGGGCTATAGTGTCCAGAGTATATATCCAAAAAGTCTCACGGTTTAGCAGAAGTTTACCCCTGTCACCCCCTCGTCTTGGTGGAGGGACATGGTCAATCGCCACAAATTTGAGAGTTGATAATGGATGTTGAAAAGATAAGAAGTGCTTCGCAACTGGTTGATCAGAATTACCATCCCTGTAAGCTACTCGTATGCTTGATCTATGCCCTCTGATCCGTTCACACAATGGTGTCTCAGTTTTCCCAATGTAGACTAAACCACATGGGCAAGATAATTTTTAGATAACGAAGGGCGTCTTACAAGTAATGGTATACCATATTTGAAAATTTTTATTCTTATGAGGATGTTGGAAAGTGCGTGAGGGAGTCATATGGCCGCAAGTAACACAGCCCAAGCATCGGATACTTCCCCGACTTGGTACAGATATTCCTGTATCATAACTCTTCACTGGGTCAGTGTGTACTAAAAGATCTCAGGATTTTTATTCCTGCGATAGCAGAGTAATGGTGGTTCTTTGAAGATTAGGGAGCGTGTCATCACACGCTATCATCTTCCAATTATCCTTCACAATTTTAGAGATCTTGAAGGACGCGTCATGGAATGTAGTAGGAAAAATCAACCTTGGGGCTTTCTCGTCACTTTTAGTCGAGTTAGCAGACTTTGCTTCCTCTAATGCTTTGCTTAAGTCCCTGTGACGATAGCCACGTTCCCGAATTTTTTCCACCATCTCTTCCAGTTGTTGATCCATTTTGGACTTGTCTGAGTTGTTTCTTATTACCCTAAGAAATTGAGCCTTGGGTAGAGACTTTTTTAAAGACTCCGGATGTGCACTTAAATTGTGTAAAATAGTATTCCGATCCGTGTCTTTTTTATAGAGACAATATGAAAGTCCTTGTTCCTTTAGTGAGATTTCCAAGTCCAAAAACTGTACTGAGGTAGTATCAATCTTTGAAGTGAATTTAATAGGACTCTCTATCTGATTCAAGAAGCATATAATCTCTTCTGCTTCTGTCATGCTGCCACCCCAAAGTATCAACAGGTCGTCAATGTACCGAAAGTATCCTTGTATGAATTGACCGTATCTTGTTAAAATCCATCTTTTCTCGTATTCGTACATGTATGCATTGGCATACATGGGAGCCATGGCGGCCCCCATGTATGTGCCAGAGACCTGGAGATACCATTTGTCCTCAAACCTGAAGTAATTGTTGTGTAATACCAGTGAGAGTAGCTCTAAGATAAATTCAATAGGTGGTCCACTATATGATTTCGAGGTAGTAAGGATGGATCTCATCGCCTCAACTCCTTCTGTATGTGGAATAACCGTATATAGGCTACTAACATCCATTGTAATTAAAATTGTTGTGCCACTCTTCAGTTCCAGTTGTTTCAATTTCTGGATGAGACTAGGTGTATCCTTAATACAGGTACTCAATTCAGATATAGGGGGCTGGAATAGAAAATCAAGCCACTTGGCAATTGGTTCCAACAGGCCTTCAATCGCGGAAACAATGGGCCTGCCCGGAGGTCTATTTGGATCCTTGTGGATCTTAGGCAGAGTGTATATAATAGGTGTCCGAGGATGTGACTTCAATAGATATTGGCTGAGTTGTAGATCTATAAAACCTGCTTCCATGCCTCTTTTGACAACTGCTTCAACATTACTCTTAATTAACTCCGTAGGGTCACCCCTCAGAGACCAATATACTTTCTCGTTTGAAAGCTGTTGGGTTAACTCCTATGCATACTGTGTATAGTCCATAACTACTATGCCTCCACCCTTGTCTGCCGGACGGATGGCTAAAGACTGATCATTGGCCAAGTTCTTTATACATTGCATTTGTCGAGGAGAAACATTCCTATACTTGCACTTATGATTGCATATGACTTCCTGTGTGAGGTGGTTGATTGTGGAGAGATAGGTTTTAATAGACGCTTTATTTGTGTATGGATCAAAAGTAGATTTCAATTTGAATTGTGAACTTTTTTCATGATCCACAGTAGTATTGGAGACTTTAGAGGGATTATGGAAATAGTCCTTTAGACGCATGTGTCTACCAAAATTGTAGAGTTTGGTATTCCATTTAAACTGATTAGGCGGTGATGTGGGTATAAACGAGAGTCCTCGACTGAGGATCTCCATCTCCTGTATATCTAGAGGTTTCTGAGATAGATTAAATACCGGAGTTACCTCCGTAAGGGTGGCTTCCCCCGAGTGATGGTTCTTGCCCTTGTGACCTCTCCTCGTTCGCCTCCTCTTCCTGCGCCCCTGCCTCGGCTTCTTGTAGTAGTCCCCATTTCCAATTCCTCTAAAAAAGGAGTAGATTCTGTATGCACCTCGTTGTCAGATGCTGATTCCCCTGATGTGATGTCCACGGTAGGTATCTGGGGGCGTCGAATCCTCTTTCTCTGACGGTAAGGTTTACGAGCACCATCACCTGAAAGCCATCTGTAGACACGATGGTCTAAGTAATCCTGGCGTACGCGTTCAAACTTTTGTTTTTTGAATTTAATCAATTCGTTTTTGTATAGTAGTAATTCATCCTGTAATTTACTACGAAGTTTGATTTCCTCAGGGGAAGCCAGTAACACTGCATGTTCCAATTCTAGATCAGTAATTTTCAAACTTGTATCCTCCATATCCACCTTTACGTCCACTAGAGGACTGAAACGTTGAAATAGCCTTTTTATATATAGATTAATAAACTTTACTTTTTAATCAGATTTTTGGAAATCCGAGAGTGCTAATCACCATATGCTGGTATGTAACATTTCCCCTGATTTTGAGCACCCGGTTTTTGATTGACTCTTTGGAGCTGGAGTGCAAGGACTTTGTGGATGGTTATATATATATATATATACATATATACATACATACATACATATACAAGCGGCGTGTGCTTGTGCTCAGCGCCGGTGCAAGGATTTTTGCCTCCCTAGGCAAAAGAAGGATTTGCCTCCCCTCCCCCCCCCGGAACATCGCAATGCCCCACCCATATGAACTAATGCCAGTGCTGCACACAGTGTGTGTTTACATTAAAAAGCCTGCAGGGACAAACTATAGACACCAGAACAACTTTATTAAGCTGCAGTGGTTCTGGGGACTATAGTGTCCATTTAATGTGAGGTAAATTAGAGATTAGTGTCACTAATAATATACTAGATTGCCTACTTACAATCAGATGAGGATGGTGATGGGCTCTGGCTGCAGTCTGGCTCCACTGGTCTGGTGTAGAACAGGATCTCTGGAGGCTGTTTGTAACTGTGGTCACAAAATTCAATGTTCTGGGAGAACGGGAAGCAGCTCCATTTTTTGGGGCCTCTTACATAGCTCAAGGTCTGGGCCCCAGGGCCTGACGGTGAGTATGCCCATAAAGCCCACCCATAAGTCCACCTACATGTTCCACCCATGAACTCACAGGGAGTAGAGTGTGTAGGGGATTGTTATGTGTTACTGTAGAGGATCTAATGTGTGTGCTTACGGAATGTAGTGTATAGGGATACCAGTTTGTGTAGGTGATGCAGTGTGTTTGTGTGTAGTGGAAGCAGTGTGTGTGTAAGGGATAGAAAGCAGTGAGTGTTTGTGTATAAGGGATGTATTGTGTGTTTCTTGTTGTGTGTAAGGGATGCATTGTGTGAATCTGTGTTTGTATGCATAAGGGATGCAAAGTGTGTTTCTGTGTATGTAAGGGATGCAGTGTGTGTGTCTGTAAGGGGTGCGTTGAGTGTGTGTAAGAGATGCATTGTGTTTCTGTGTGTGTGTAAGAGAAGCAGTGTGTGTTTGCATGTGTGTGTAAGGGATGCATTGTGTGTTTCTGTGTATATGTGCAAAGGATGCATTGTCTTTATGTGTAAGGGTTGCATTGTGTGTTTCTCTGTGTGTAAGGGAAGCATGTTGTGTTTCTGTGTGTATAGGGATGCATTGTGTGTGTGTGTGTGCGTGGTGTGAAAGAGCTCCCTGTCCCCCTGTCCTATAGAGCTCTCCCTTCCATTCCTTAGAGATCTCCCCTACCCCTTAGTGGTCTCTCCTCCCCCCCACCTCCCTTAGTGGTCTCCTTTTCTCCCCGACTTTCCATTAGTGGTCTCTCCTCTCCCCCCACCCTCCCCTAGTGGTCTATCCTCCACCCCCCTCCCTTAGCGGTCTCTCCTCACACCCCTCCCCTAGTGGTCTCTCCACCGCCCCCTCCCTCCTTTAGTGGTCTCTCCCTCCCCTACGTTCTCATCTCCCACCCCTCGTGTTCTCCTCTTCTTCTCCCCCCGTGTTTTCCTCTTATTCCCCCGCCTCCCTGTGTTCTCCTCTTCTTCTCCCCCCTGTAATCTTCTCTTCTTCTCGCCCCTCCCTGTAATCTTCTCCCCCCTTCCCTCCCTGTAATCGCTTCTTCTCCCCTGTAATCTTCTCTTCTTCTCCCCCCAATCATCTCCCCTCCTTCCAGCTCCATCAATCTCCCCCCCACTCCCTCCTTCCATCAAATCCATCCCAACTTCCCATCGATCATCTCCCTCCCTCCTTCCATCGATCATCTCCCCCTCCTCCGTCGATCATCTCCCCCCTCCCATCGATCCATCTTCCCCATCCGATCATCTCCCCCTCCCTCCGCATCAGATCATCTCCCTCCCTCCCACCCATCGATCATCTCCCCCCCTCCCTGCCATCAAATCATCCTCCCCTCAATCATCTCCCCATCCCATCAAATCATCCCCCCTCCCTCCCATCAAATCAATCTCCCCCCCTCCCTGCCATCAAATCATCCCCCCTCAATCCCTCTCCCCCCATCCATCAAATCATCCCCCCTCCCTCCCATCAAATCATCTCCCCCTCCCTCCCAATCAGATCATCTCCCCTCAATCATCCCCCTCAATCATCTCCCCCATCCCATCAAATCATCTCCCCCCCTCCTCCCATCAAATCATCTCCCCCCCCTCAATCATCTCCACCCTCCCCCCCTCAATCATCTCCCCATCCCATCAAATAATCCCCCCTCCCACTCCCATCAGCATCTCCTCACCTCACCTCCCCTGCCCTGTAGCGTGGCCGAGCTCCTTTCCGGTCCGCGACCCGCGGGACTGACAGGAAGTGCACTATGAGTGTGCACTTCCTGTCATTCCGGCCGGGTCGCGGACCGGAAAGGAGCTCGGCCACGCAACAGGGCAGGGGAGGTGAGGCACTGTGGCAGCCGCCTGAGCGCTCTCTATAGAGCGCTCAGGCAGCTGCAGAATTTAAAGGGCCGGCGATGGGGGCGCAGGGCGCCCCCTCCTATATGGCGCCCTAGGCGGCTGCCTAGTTCACCTTATAGGAAGCGCCGGCCCTGCTTGTGCTTTAGGGTGCACACCCTAATGCAATAGGCTGTGCACTCCTATCAGTGGACCACTGGTCAAAGCGAGGAGCAGAGACATATCTGATTCTGACTGAATTTGTTAGGTTATAACTTTTTAATTACTCCTGGATATCTTATTGTACTTTGCCTTAGTGCTGGGTTAAAATAAAACATACTTAAATTTATGCTCATTGTGAATTAAACCTGCTTCACTGACAGAGTGTTCCTGTGTTCTTTGAGCTACGTGTTGCTCTCTAACGCTCTAGAGGTTTGTATAATTCTTTTGACCTCAGATTTCTAGGACTGCATCTAAGAATGCTGTAAAGCTGCAAGACATTCTCTAATTCTGTTCAGTTTGTCTCTTAACATGGGATAACCTTACTACCTCTCCTTGTTTGATTCTCCAATCTTTAAATTATATGTTTGAATAGTTGCAAAACTTTAGTGACAAAATTACGTTTTACTTGTGTCAAATGCTATTGACAAAAACAGTCATCAAACTTTGCAATAGGAAGAGGAAAATGTAAATTGTGCACTACATATTTTGAGCACTAGATTTTACCAATCTGTCACAACTTGTGGACTCTTTTTCACTACTTGATATAATTTTCCTTTCTTTTTTGGGCTTAGGAAAGTCATATCAAGTTTTTCTCAAAAGCCGCTCAAGCCCAGTGTTCCGTAACATTTAAACTGAATACAA